AAGTAAAAATGATGAGATGATTCATTTAGCGATGAGACTCCCAAGAAGTCATTGTGTCTAAAAGTGGGGAGTGCAAGTGTTGAATGAAATGCAGAGAAAAAAATTCCAGCAAAGCAGAAAAGAAGCTATGCCTCTTGAAATGTGCTATATGCCTATCTAGAGGGTTTTTAATTGTGGCTCAAAGATTCAATATATTGATACAGTTGGACACAAAGCTTAATTATTTTATTCACTCGCTTAACAAAAAATGATTAAGAATCTACAGATATGTATTTAGGCACTGAGCAGGATCATGCCGGCACAACAGAAAAATTTTGCTCTCCTGAAGTTTAAATTCTAACTGGGAATGATGGCTGACACACGAGTGAGCAAAGACATAGGGGAGTGTTGGAAGGACATGAAGAATAGCGCAGGGTGAGAGGCAGTGCACCTGGGGAGGGGAGAGGGACTGTTATAGAAAGGAGGCTAGGAAAGGCTTCTGTGAAAAATTGATATTTGTTGAAGCAGAGACCTGAGTGGAGGGACAGCAAGTACAAATGCCCTGGGGCAGATGCATGCTTGGAGTGGTGAAGAAATATTCAAGTGATTAGTGTAGATGAAGAGAGACTGAAGACTGGGAGAGTGACAAGAGATGATGCATCTCAACTAAATTAAGAATGAATGAAGCCCAGCCTGTAATCCTGTGCCTTGGGAGGCTGAGGTGAGTGGATTGCCTGAGCCCGTGTGTTCAAGACCCGCTTGGGCAACTTGGCGAGACCTCATCTCTACAATAAATCAAAAATTAGCTGGGGGTGGTAGCATGTGCCTGTAGTTCCAGCTACTTGGAAGGCTGAGGCGGAAGGATCGCCGGAGCCCAGCAGGTCGAGGCTGCGGTGGCCGGGAGCGGCCACTGCACTCCAGTCTGGGCGACAGAGTGAGACTCCAACTCAAAAAAACAAACAAACAAAAAATGAATGAATGAACAACATTAAACATTCCAAAGCAGTTGAAGAGAGACAAAATGTAAAATATTGCTAATACCTCAGGCCACAAATAGTGTGAAAGTTGGTAGTCACATACAGATAAATAAATGCATGCTTTTACTTTTACTTCATTTTCATTATACTATGACTATTTTATCCTTTTGAAAAGGGATTATAAAAATGTAATCCAAAAATGACTTAGTCAAGACAGGCATATTAATTTACTTAAGGTGCTTTAGCAATACATCTCTCAATATATATGCCAAAGATATGAGTAATTACTTTCATTTAAAGTTATATTCCCAATCCAAGTAAAGACCCACCAGAGAAAGAGAACTACTGGTCGATATCTTTGATGAATATAGATGTTAAAATTCTCAACAAGATCCTAGCAAACCAGATTCAACAACATATCTCACAAATCATCCATCACGCCCAAGTAGGCTTCATCCCTGGGATGAGAACCTGGTTCAATATTCGTTAGACCATAAATGTAATTAAATATGTTGATAGACACAAAAGTCACATGATTATATCATTAGATACAAAAAAACTTTTGATAAAATCCTGTACCGCTTCTTGATTAAAAACCCTTGAATATCTAAGCATAGGTGGAACATACCTCAAAATAGTGAAAGCCATCTATGAGAAATCTACAGCCAGCATACTCCTAAACAGAAAAATTGGAACCATTTCCCCTGAAAACTGGAACAAGACAAGGATGCCCACTCTCACCCCTCCTGTTTAACATAGTTTTGGAAGTCCTAGCTAGAGCAATCAGAGAAGAGAAGATGATCATGGGTATTCAAATAGGAAAAGAGGAAGTCAAGTTATCTCTCTTTGTAGATGACATGATTATATAACTTGAAAACCCAAGAGAATCTGCCAAAAATCTTCTGCACTGATAAAAGACTTTGACAAAATCTTAGGGTATAAAATAAATGTACAAAAGACAATCGCATTTCTACACACCAATAATAGAAATACAGAAACCCAAATAAAAAGCACAATTCCATTTATAATGGCCACACACACAAAAAAAGAAATACCTTGGCATCTCCCTAACCAGAGATGTAAAAGACCTTTGCAATGAACACTACAAAACACTGCTCAAAGAAATCAAAGATGACACAAACAAGTGGAAAAATACTCCATGCTCATGGATTGGAAGAATCAACATTGTTAAAATGTCCATGTTACCTAAAGTAATCTGCAGATTTCATGTAATACCCATCAAATTACCAGCAACATTCTTCTCAGATCTAGAAACAAAATACAGGAATTCATATGGAAACATAAACAACCAAGAATAGCCAAAATAATCCTCAGCAAAAAGCACAAACAGGAGGTATAACACTCCCAGACTTTAAACTAGATTATAAAGCAACAACAATAATAATAAAAAAAGCCTGGTATTGGTATAAGAACAGGCATACAGACCAATGGAATAGGTTGAGATTCCAGAAGCAAAACCTCAATTTCTCAACCAACTCATCTTCGACAAAGCCTCCACCACACACTACTGGAGAGAGGAGAATCTGTTCAGTAAATGGTGCTGGGAAAACTGGCTGACCACCTGCAGAAGATTCAAACAGGACCCCCATCTATCCCCATACACCAAAATTAACTATAAATGGATCACGGACCTCAATGTAAAACTTCAGCCTGTAAGAACCCTAGAAAATGCAAGAAACACTCTTAGGAAGCTGGAACTGGCAACAAATTCCTGATCAAAACCCGAAGTGCCCAGGCCATAAGAGAAAAGATAGACAAGTGGGACCTCATCAAAGTGGCAAGCTTCTACAAAGCCAAAGAAACCATCAAGAGAGCAGGGAGACAGTCCACAGACTGGGAAAAAATATTTGCCAACTCCATGTCTGACAAAAGCCGAACATCAAGGATCTACAAGGAACTCAAACGTGCTGAAAAGAAAAAAACAAACAACCCTATTATGAAGTGGACTAAAGATATGAATAGAAATTTCTCATAAGAAGACATAAGAGCAGCCATCAGATATATGAAAAAATGTTCAGCCTCACTAGTCATCAAGCAGATGCAAATTAAAACTACACTGAGATACCACCTAACTCCAGTCAGAAAGGCCATCATCAATAACTCAAAAAATAACAGATTGCAGGAGAGGATGTGGTGAAAAGGCAACACTTCTACGTTGTTGGTGGGAGTGCAAACTATGTTCAGCCTCTGTGGAAATCAGTGTGGCGATTCCTAAAAGTTCTAAAAATCGATCTTCCATATGACCCTGCAATCCTCCTACTGGGAATACCCGGAAGAACTCAGGTCACTCTATGAAAAAGATACCTGCACACGTATGTTTATCGCAGCATTGTTCACAACAGCAAGAACATGGAACCAACTATGTTGCCTATCAAAAGAGGACTGGATAAAAAAATGTGGTACCTGTACACAATGGAAGACTATGCAGCCATAAAGAAGAACAAAATCATGAACTTTGCAGCAACCTGGATGGAATTAGAGTTTATAATACTGAGTGATCTCTCACAGAAACAAAGAGCTGAGTATCACAAGTTCCCACTCATAAGTGGACCTTGAACAACTACCATATTACTATAAGAAAAGGATTGAAAGTGGCGGGAAACTGCGGGGATGGGGTGGGGGGTGGGGAGGTGGGATTGACAGTAGTCGATATTTTCCTGGGAAGCAGGGGGCACACCTCATCAATAAGGGTAACTGCATGGTGAATATTTGTATACCTAGCCCTGAATTGTACCCCACAATTTAAAAATAAACAAAAGCTATATTCTCTTTTTACTCCAACAAGAACTCTTTTTTTTTTTGAGTTGGAGTCTCACTTCGTCGTCCAGACTGGAGTGCAGTGACACGCTCCTGTCTACCGCAGCCTTGACCCGCTGGGCTCCAGCGATCCTTCTGCCTCAATCTTCTGAGTAGTTGGAATTACAGGCACGCACTACCACACCCAGCTGATTTTTTTTTGATTTATTGTAGAGATGAGGTCTCACCAAGTTGCCTGGGCGGGTCTCGAACTCACGGGCTCAGGCAATCCACTCATCTCCGCCTCCCAAAGCACTGGGATTACAGGCTGAGCCACTGAGCCCAGCAAACAAGAACTCTTAGGACAGCTATTAAACTTAATAAAAAATATTCACAGCAACCTGGATGGACTTCGAGTCTATAATACTGAGTGATCTTTCACAGAAACAAAGAACTGAGTATCACATGTTCTCACTCATTAACGGACTTTGAACAATTATTGTAATACTATAAGACAAGGATTGACAGTAGCGGGAAACTGCCTGGAGTGGGCAGGAAAGCAGGACTGGTAGTAGTGGGAATCTACCTGGGGAAGGAGGGGCACACCTCAGCAACAAGGATACCTGCATAATGGAGGATTGTATATCTAACCCTGAATTGTATCTCACATCTTTAAAAGAAAAAAAGAAAAAAATAATAACATTAGTCACAAATTTATATTCTAATACTCTGATTAATGAACTTATTTCAACACTAGTCACATTCCATTTACCTTTGGCTAATTTTCTACTCCCATGTGTTTGTGCTTACATGGGTGCACTTCTGTTCATGGCTTTGTTTTTGTAACTGTTTTAAACATATGTTGCTATTAACATACAATAGAGAAAATGTCTATTGAAAGAGTGCTGCTGCCTGAGCCGAGAAGAAAGTGGAAGCAAAGAAGGAAGAATCTGAGGAGTCTGATGATGACATGGGCTTTGGTCTGTTTGACTAAGCTTTTTATAATGTGTTCAATAAACAGCTGAACTCTGAAAGAAAGAAAGAGTGAATGAAAGAAATCTCCTAAATAAGCTTTTTTTTTTGCCAAGCAGAACTGAAACATTGTATGCTTCCCTTTAGCCATCCTCATTCAGGTATTACATTTCTAGACAACAGACTTTTGAAGAGGTAAGGGTATTACTTCCAAAATGTAACCTCAGTGTGGATTTTAAAATGTCAAATGTCACTGGGTATCTGGAGAACACCAGAGAGGAATGAAATGAGGTTGTTCATCATACCATGTTAAACTCACAATCCTAAAAATGATTTTATTGTAGTCTTCCCAATAACTTTCTTGAATGCAGTCTTCACCTCCTTATTCCTCAGACTGTAGACCACAGGGTTCAGCATTGGTATGACCATGGTGTAAAACACAGCTGCAATTTTGTCTGTGTCCATGGAATGACTGGAGCTGGGCTGTATGTACATGAAGATAATAGTCCCATAGAAGATGGAGACTGCAGTGAGGTGGGAGGCACAGGTGGACAAAGCCTTCTGGTATCCTGCAGCTGAGGGTACCTTTAGGATGGTGACAAATATGAATAGGTGGGATATCAAGATAACTAGAAGGGCAAAGAATATATTGAAGCTGGCTACATAAACAAGAACCCGTTCTTTCACATGTCTATCTGAGCAAGACAAAGCCATGACTGCAGGAATATTGCAGAAAAAGTGATGAACCACATTGGACATACAGAAAGAGAGACTGAATGTTTCCCCAGTGTGGATAGAGGCATTCAGGAAACCACCAACATAGCAGCCTATGGTCAGACATGTACACACACCTGTCGTCATGGCGGTAGTGTAATGCAGGGGTTTGCACACTGCTGCGTAGCGGTCATAAGCCATTGATGCCAAGAGTAAATTTTCCACACTGGCAAAGCCTCCAAAAAAGAATGCCTGCGCAGCGCAAGCACCATAAGAAATGACCTTGTCTCCTTTAAGGAGTCCAGCCATGACCTTGGGAGTGACAGCTGAAGAGTAGCAAAAGTCCACTAGAGACAGGTTACTCAGGAAAAAGTACATTGGATTATGGAGATGAGAGTCCCAGAGAATCAAAATGACCATCCCCAGGTTTCCAGCCACATTGATGAGGTAAATGAGAGTGAATATGATAAAGAGAGGGATGTGCAGCTCTGAGGCATCAGTTATTCCTAGAAGGATGAATTCTGTCACTTCTGTATTGTTCTCCATCAACATTATTTGGTAATCAGGAGATGACCTATCACAATGAGACATAAAGGAGCAGAGCATTAAGTGTAGTAGAGATTGCAGTGAAACGGAAATGTTAATATACCATATGCATTATTTCATTGTAGCAATAATATGCTATATTATTATACTTAACTAATACATGAGCTTAACAACAAAATTGAGTGCATTCATTATTTATATAGCTCTATACCGTTGTATGAAGGAACTGCATGGATCCTCTCTGCAGTTTTAAAATTTTATATGTTTATAAGCTGAGATTTGGGAAATGTAATGAATTTTCCAACATGACAATTCTAGAATTAATAAATCAGGCAGTTCAACTTTTTCTTGCCTAATAAATTCATAGACTTCTATGTTGCTAAAGTATCAGCAGCTGTTCCAGACAGTTTTACATCTATATTCACTGATTCCTCTCAACAAATTTGTGAAGTTGAGTGGTTATTACCTTCATTTAGAATGTGAGGTACCAGAGATTGAGTAATTTTGCCATGTTTAAAGAAGTATTCATTGGCAGGCAAAGCTTTGACCTCAGATGGAAGGTTTACCAAGTCCAGGGGTCTAAATCGAACTTAAATCAAACTTAATTCAACTGAATTTACTACTCCTTGTCTCCATTATTCCATACTGTTTGAGGTTTCACAATGAATTAACTGAGAGATGCATGCATAGTAGACGTGGTGAGATAACTGGGTCTGTAGGAGAATGTATAACCTGCTGAGACAATTCTGAGGGGGAGGGAACAGCACTGGGCATAGAGCTTTGGCTCTAGGAAGAGGTGCATGTCATCCCTACGTGTACAACCTACGGATCACGGGTCCTAACCTAACTTTCCTGAACCAGATTTTCTTCATCTACAAAATAATGATGATAATGAGACCTACACCAAGGTATTATTTGTGGATTAAATGAGACAGTACATTTTAAAAATGTCTGTGAGTAAAATGCTATGTGTTTAGCACAGCCTGATGCGTGCTAGCTGTGCTGTTATCATTAGGATAAAATGATGACTTCTATCTGGTTGAAGAAGGTAGGAGGCAACATAAGACTTTAGGTGAGCATGAGGTTTTAAGTCTTGAAGACTCACTGTTAAATTTGCTTTTTTTTAAACACACTTTTTAATCTCAGATTTAACGAACGCTCTAATGGTTCATGCTCTGCCTATAAGATTGCCTGCTCTGTTTGTTTCACGTAGACACCTTTTGCTAAAGTCTTTCTTAAAATTCATAATTTTCTTGTGTTGAACATCTCTTTTTATTATTACTGTTATTGCATAGTTGCATAATGGATATTGAGGATTGGAAGTTCATAGTTTGTGGGCTACCTTTAGCCCACAGATATGTTTTCTCGGGGGGAAATTTGAATTAAAAAATTTTTTTTATTTGAATTTGTTCGAGTGTAGAAAGAGTGCTTTAAATATTTTAAATTTTAATGTGAAGTTTTTAGAAACACATCCATCTTCTTCTAAATCCAACTCCCTATTATTCTCCTCCTCTTCCTTTTGCGACTTCAGTGTACAAGTCTAGCCCATGAGGGCTTTAAGTTTTCCCATCTTAACGTACATAACCACTTGTAGTATATACTATGTTCCACAACATATGATTGAAGTTTACATATAAATGTGTGCACGAGCATGTGTGGATGTGCCTGAGTGTATGTAAGGCAGATATTTTTATCACTTATTTACCAATAAAGCAATTAATGATTTGTGAAATCATATAATACTGTTCAACTCTACAGCTAGTATGAGGAAGATTCAATATTTAAACCCCCCAATAAAAGATTTAAACCTAGCTCCATCCTAATGAAAAACCTGTGGTTTTGGCCCCATCATTCTCAGCATGTGTAGATGTGCTAATAATAATAAACATGAAATTATGGGATTATGATGAAAATGTAAAAATGGAGTTTAGATCTTGCCAATTCATGTAAGTCTCTGTATAGTTTAAAAAGTGTCACTTCACTCAACATTTATTTATTTTTAAAAAATCTCCAACTAGAGGACAAGAGATAGTAAATAAATTGCAATTACCACCTAATAAATCATAGTATCACCCATACTATTTTTGTTACCATTTATAGAAAGCAGATTCACAATTTTTCATAAGTATTGCTAAACTCTCTATTGATGGAATTGTAACATATACATCTCAGCCTCACTTCAATGTTTCAGAAATATGTTCAAAATCTTTATTTCTATGAGCAAATAAATCAAAGTAGGAATATCTAACCCACTACTTTTGCATGAATTACCCTTTTTACTAAAAGTGTACATTGAATATAGAAACTTACCTTATTCCTTGGAAACAAGTGAAAGGCACTCCTGAGTAGTGTGTTTGAAACCAGAAATTCTTCCATTGAATCATGCATAAAGTGCGAAACTGTTAGGGGAGAAATGGGTGGGGTAGGCAGTTGAGGGAAACTGCTAGGGGAGGGAGAGGCATATCTCATCAACAAGGGTACCTGCATGATCAATGTTTATATACCTAACCCTGAAATGTACCCCACATATTTATAATAAAAATAAATAAATAAATAAATGATGTTTGAGAAACTCTCTTGCAGACAGTGGTCAAAAGGCTGGGAGGACTCTAAGGCAGGAAAAATGGAAGAAAACACTCGTACATTTTGAGATATAGAATGTACCAGGTCTTCCTTCTGTGTCCTTGCAGGACTCACTTATCTGCCCTTCTTATTAGTAAAATAAAGATTATAAAATTACTTCTCCCACATAATCCACATTACATCTGTGAATCGCAAATGAAGAGAGGTCTAAAAAACAACTTGCTAAGTGATTATTATTTTAAAGTTATTCAATATAATTTTAATCTTTGAGTGTTTCCCTGGCTTATAGCAAATCTTCAATTCAGAAAGCCTATTTGTACTAACAAATATTTGCATTCAGATGGATAAATAATGACCAAAGTGGCCCAGCACACAGTCTGGTCCTAGAATCCTGGAACATATAGTTTTTGTTCTGGCATCTTTTGCTTAGCATAATGCATTTGAAGTCCATCTATATTGCTACCTGTATCAGGACTGGTATCTTTTTAATTGATAAATCATAGATGCATATAACATGGCGTACAATGTGGAGTTATGAATTTTGAATACAATGTAGACTGGTTAAATCAAGCTAATTAATTTATTAATCATCTCAAATATTTAACATTTTGGTAATTAGAACATTTGAAGTTTATACATCACATTTCTTTTATGTAACTGAGGCTTTGCACCCTTTGACTATCATCTCTTAATTTTCTCCACCCACAACCTCCAGTGACTACCTTTGTACTCTCTGCTTCTATAAGTTCAATTATTTTTGACTCCACATATAAATAAGGACATGTGGAATTTGTCTTATTTTATATAACATAATATCCTCTAATTTTATGCATATTTTTGCAAATGATACAATGCCTTCCTTTAAAAAATATGAGTAGAATTCCATTGTGTTTATACACTACATTTTCTTTATCCATTTATCTCCTGATAGACACTTAGGTTAGTTATTTCACTGTGCTATTTCACCATGCTGCAGTGAATGTGGGAGTGCAGTGATCTTTTTGGCAAACGTATTAAAGATTTTGGATCTTTGAGATACATATCCAGAGATGCAATCACGAGGTTTCATGGTAATTCTATTTTTAGTTTTGTGAAGAAACTCCATACTGTTTTTCTTAATAATTGTACTGAATTTATATTCCCACCAACAGTGTATGAGGTTTTCATTTTCTCTATGTCCTCACTAACAATTATCCTTTGTGGATTTTTAAAAAATATAGTCATTCTAACAGGTATGAGGTGGAAGTTCACTGTAGTTTACGGTTCATCTTCATAATGATTTGTAATGTTGAACATTTTTTCATATATTTGTTAGTCATTTGTATGTCTCCTTGTGAAAAGTGTCTATTCAGTAGACACTTCTCAAAAGAAGATATACGGCAGCCAACAGACACATGAAAAAGTGCTCAGCCTCACTAATCACCAGAGAAATGCAAACCAAAACCACGTTGAGACACCACCTAACCCCAGTAAGAATGGCCATCATTAATAAAACAAACAACAGGATGCTGGTGAGGATAAGGAGAAAAGAGAATGTAGGATTGCAAACTATGCTGGAGTCCTGCTCCTGCCGGGTCTAAGGTATCCCAAAGGTAAGAACAGCGTAGATGAAAGAATGCACATTGGACACCTGACTCTGTTGCAAGACAGATGCCATTTATTGTTAATTAACAGAGAGCTTTTATACTATTTGTATAAGGGAAAGGACAAAGAAAATTCCTTCATGCACATCATCCTTTAGAAGTTATGTCATCTAGCAGTCTTAGAAGCAACAAACAGGCCCAAAACACTAACTACTTTCAGTTAATGAGTCTTAAGATAAGTTTAAAAGGAGTTTTACTTAAACTAAACATAATGCATCACTTAATCTACAAGGCTTACTTTGATTTTTGTTACACATCACTTGTCTAATTAAAAAAGCCTTAAAATCACCAAAACAAAACTATAGATCGTACCTAGTGATATTAGGAATATGAAGCCTATTAACTTGACCAAAAAACAGTGGTTAACATTTAAAGAATAACTATGAAAGTGACTTACTGTGAAAATACATATACTAATCTTTACTTTAATTTTAATCATGCAAAAATGAACTAAAACACAACAAAAATCATTATGGCAAAATGAGCTAAAACATAATGAAATAAATCTAACACAACTAAAATAATTATGGCTGTATAAATGCGAATGAGCTTTTAAGTTTAGGTTAATGGTGGTTTGGGGGGGTGGGTTGACGTGTTTTCCTTTATGCTTGACAACCTCCTGGAAAGTATCTTTGTTAAGATAGCCACTTAAGCAATTATTATTATCTTTAAGGCACCAACTTTATCTTATGTGAACTTAAACTTATGAACCTAAAACAATCTTCAAAGTAATTATAAAACATCAAACTACAGCATTAAAACTTAATTAATGATTCA